CACATATGAATTAAACTTGAAAATCGTCCATCTTACGTCTTAACATTCTGATGGACTTCCGAGGAACACTGAAATACCAGGTCTTCAGTTCAGACAATGTTTTCTCGATCACGGTCGCCTCGACTTTAACCGTTTCGCGTCTGAAATTAATAAATTTTTAATAAAATAAATTGTTTAAGAATTTAATTTCATTTTTCATACGGTATGTACGGAGTTCCAAAGAGCGTGAAATCCGTCGAACCAACACATAGAACCTACAAATACCGTTGAATATTTAGCGAACACAATCTGCTGACTACCTTTCATAACTCAGCTTTACTGCTTGATAGACAACGAGTACCATGAAGCAAAATCTTCCTTTATTTTGAAGATTTGACGCATCACTTACACCATACAAAAAATCAGATAAAGAATAAAAGAATTCATGCGTTCTTATATACGGCATTAACATGAAATCCAGTAGGCGGCGAGAAGTGCAAACCTGGATCTTTATTTTAGAATCAATCAACAAGCTGGTCAGATCGAAGATTTATATAGCGACCTAATGACAGGAATTACAAGAATAGTAACATATAATGCGAAATTAACTGAACAACAGTGTAGTTGATCGACAGGGTGACTGATCTAATTGAATGGCTGATTGTGAGGCTGTATGACAGTGAAACTGACAAATTGTTAGGCTAAAGAACTAAAGTTGACTGGGTTAGGAAATTGTCATTATTAACAAGCGGTCGTTTCTATTTAGCACTCTGGATTATCAATCATCGCTGCTGGCCGTTCAGCTCAAGGTACTTTTTGAATGATTAGTACTAGCATTTTTCACTTTAAATGACGCTATAAAGAAAAGGTAACATGATGTGCTAAATAATGATATGAAACTGCGAGGGTGACCGAAGACTTGACCGAAAACTGGAAAATATGGAGGCAACTGACTCTAACAGCAGATTCCTGTTAAAGAGAACACGCTGGGAAAAAGAAGCGGATTCTAACTGATTGCCAAATTGACAATGAGTCGGAATGAATGACTGTAAGGTAGAAGGATTGAAGAACTGTAGTATGGATGATCTGTCTGGTTAACTAAGCATTGATTAAACAACTGATTGTGGTACCAACTAACTGGTTGAAGAATGACGAATGGAAATGATTGACTGTAAGACTAACTGATAATGAAAACACTTGACTATGAGAATGTGTAACTGTGACTAACTGTAAAACTGGCAATAATGGAGCCTGAACGAATGGATGACGAATGGACGACCGATCCACAAACTCAATGACTCAGTGACAGACAGGCTAACTGAAGGATGTAAAGATGAAAACCAACGAACAGACTGATCTGAGAGCCTGAAGCCAGCCAGAGGGGAATAAGACCCAAAAAGGATGCCAGCCACTTCCTTTGAATCGAGCCATTCATTTTGGGGCATAGTTGGGTTCACAAGATCAACAATGTGCCAGCAGTTTAGAGAGGGGACATGAAGTCTGAGTTTATTGCTTCAACAAAATCGCCAAAGAAACTCGCTTTTTAACATATATAAAAATATAGGCCCAAATCAACTAACAAATAAATAACAGAAAATCTAAGACAAAACCGTAAAATCTGATCTACTTACATGACAATAATATAAACATTAAGAGAAACAGATTGCGGACAAATTAAATATTTGAATACTGTTCCATTAACGTACAGGACGATCATTTCAGAGATGTAGATATTTCCCTTTATCAGTATTCTTCATTAAACAAACGGTCTGCTTCAAAGAGCTTTAATAAACGTAATAAACACACCTGCCTTTTCCATGATAATTCGATCTCCAATATCGAAGGCCCAGTTGCCCTGAATCACAATAATATCTTCGCTTGTGACTTTGAACTGCTGTTGAGCAAATGAAACCACAGCGAAAAGTCGTTTGTTTCTAGCAGCAATTGTCTGATTTACCAACGATGCCACTTTCGCATCTTCCGAATCGAATCTACGTTTATAACTTAAACGTTTAAAACTGGCTATTCTTACCCGAAGTTTCTGCAGAATCAGCAAAACCAATAGCCGCTGACGCTGAACTAGAGTCAAGCTGACAAACTGATGACTGCAAATTTCTGGAACTAGGAAAAGAAACCATTTCCAAACACTTAACTTCAAAAGCTAAACATACTTCTTTAGGAAACCACCGCATCTTAAGAACCTTGTCAGTTTTGAACCGGTAACACCGCCAATCATCACTAAATGAAGAACATCATAGAACAAAAAAAATTACGGTTATGAAATTTAAGCAATATTTCTCGATACAACTGCATTCAGTTTAAACACTTCAAGGAATTAATCAGCAGAACATATTTTAAACCGTATCATCCGTCAAACCGGTGTTAAAAGGTAAAACATCAGGAAAGGTAGTACAGTCAAAGAAACGAAGGAAAGGACAGCCTGTAACCGCTAGAATATCGCTTCTCCCTACATTCTCATGATGGGTCCATTTCTAGCGCCCTCCTTTCTATGAAAATAATGATGGGGTGCGGATCTTCATCTCCAATCTATCGGCCAGCAGTGTCTTGGCAACAGCTACGAGGTAAACATGTGTAGTTACTGGTGCAGACGCGCTGCTAATTTATAAAGTTCTGAAGGAAGAATAGCTATAAATCCGTCCATCGCTCGAAATCAGGACCCTGGTTACGAGTCCGACGCTCCACATGTCACTGATGACAAAGATCTGAACTCAACGGCATCTCTGTCTTTTTTGCTCTATTGCCACTGCGCAGTAAATCAGCTCCAGCTGTCTCGTTCATAGTTGTCAGTTAGCTTTTTCTCTCCCTGCCATTTATATATTTACTACATAATTTCCTTTTGCCTGCGACGCAAAACAAGATACTCTGATGTTCGCGTTCAGGCAGTCTGAGCAGCTGAGCAACGGAGCTGTAGTAAGAAGTCAAGAAGTCGGCTTCGAACTCCGGGTTTGAATTCTGACAAAAAGTTCTCTTAGCCACTAATTTTATGAGCAACGAATTCAGTTCAAGTTTAAAGGGTGCAACCAGCCTGGAGAGTGGTAACCAGAGTTTTCATTGTAAAAAAATAGGAAAGCATTAGAGCTGGAAATGTTTCGGAATAGTCATACAAAATGAGAGTAACGGCCCATGTTTTATGATGTTAGCTCCTTCTAAGGCTGCAATTCGCCTAAACTTCACTGATAGCTGTACAGAGGCAGTTATAGTCAGTACAATATACAAACCAAATTAATTTTAAAAATCAATACAGGGCAGACGTTGATATGATATTTAAGTCTAAGAAAAAAATTACATATTAAGACATTTTGTGAAACAACAAAAACGCATCACGTGATCGATTAATAGCATATCACATATAGCTTATAAATCAATACCTTATATCAATAACTTATACCAATACTTTACAGCAAAATGATCTATATAAACGATCAAACAGCATCTCGATAACATTGTAGCCGCTAGAAAACTGTACGTTTGATTCACACGATACAAATGTCCGCTTAACGATACTTACTGAACTTTACTTCTATGATCACTTCACTTTTCGAGTCGCGAAGGAAACGCGTCACTCTGTGCTGCAGACGTTCCCGATCCTGTCCCTGCATCTCAGATGTGATAGAAGACAAACCGAATCTAAAGTAGACTAACTCAATGCACTTGCCATAGGTGAATCCTAATCGAACCCCAGATCTTCTGCGGTCAGCTTGTTAACAAGCGGTGGTTTCGTATTCCTTTTTGGACGCACCGCAACACGTACTCAAATCATCGCAGCAACGAAATCTCAGTCTGAACAAGCAGGGCTGTACAAAAAAACTCCCTTTGGGTTTCTGAACTCTGGACCATCTCGAAACGTACAAGGCAAGTCTAAAGAAAGCCCATTTCATTCGCTTCCTCCGGGATCGAAGTTTTTTGGTTATCGCTCACAACTCATGACCACTAGTGAGTATGGGATGAAGATGAACTTAAAAGCAAAAATCTTAGTCGTAAACTTAGCTCTGTTGTAGTCGAAACGAATTGGGCCGGTTAATGAGGAACGCCGTTGGATATACCAAACCGCAGTCAATCT